CTGGCTCTTCTTGTCATTCTGGAGGAACAACAGACAGAATAGATCACATTTAATACTTAAAAACAGTGAAATCCAAACTCGAGTCATGTTGATGGAAGATAAAATCTTTAATTTTGCTTTTTCTGTTGTGGAAAAAGAAATAAAGGTTTGGATTAGCTGCTCTAATCTGTGTGGATTCATGTTTGACCCCACGTTTCAGCCACTTTTCACAGATTTATTTTCATCTTCTATTCATCACTTGCTGAGTTTGATTCTTCATCAGAAGAGACACTTTAGCCTCATGAAAAACACACCTCCACTTTACCAAATATCTTCTCAGGGCAGAAGAATGAGACGACACTTAACCTTAATCCTGTAGCTTTATTAGCAGTGATTAGTTTGATTTAATGAAAACATCAGTTCATAAATGCTGAAGTTTCCATCTTTTTCTTCCAAATTAGAACACTGAAAGGAAAAAAGTAGAATCACAACTTTCTATTGTCACATTATCAGCTGTGTCTGACCTACTGACACTAACACTCTGACAAAGAGGCAGGACGGTGATCAACAAGCAGCAGTCTGATGGATCTATCTTACTATAGATGGCAGACAGTTGGTGCCACCGCCTCTGTTCAAAGATGGCCTTTCACAGTGGACATAGATGCTTCTTTGAACAGAGGCGGTGGTTTACGACACCAACTGTCTGCCATCTATAATCTAGTTTTGAGTTCCCTTCCCAGACGCCTTAACCCCCACTCACATCCTGGGCCATCTGACCTCAGGAAATCACATGATAGGGTGGGGCCAGGTTTCACAATGAGCTCACCAGAAACCCTGGCTGATTGTGACCCACACCTGTTTTCACACCTTGGCTCATGTGTTTAGGTAGAGGATCATCAGGGGGTCCTTTTGTCCCTCTTTGGGGGGATACTCCCACTGGGTTTAAATCTGGGACTCTCCACCATTTCAACTTTAGAACTGAAGAAGCTTCTTGAATAAGAGGTGAAACGTCTTCAAGTAACTTAAAGACGCTTTTCTTTCCAAGCTCCTTAGACCACGATGACCTGGATGACTGAGAACCTTCACAGACATACTGAGTATTTTTGATTACCAGAGCCTCCAGCTCAAACTCCAGCGTCTTCTTCCTGGCTTTGAGCAGAACTATGCTCTCCTGCTCTCGGTTTCTCTGAGTCAGAAGCTCCTGCCGCCGCTGACGCTCCCACTCCAGCTGACGCTGGCGCTCTAACTCTCTCTTAGCGGCCTGCCACACACACACAGAAAGTTCTGTTTACGCTCAGGACGCAGTTTTATAAAGAAACTGCACAACAACACAAAAGACTGGAGGTTAAACATTATATACATATATACACATCATACACTTGATTACACGTGACTAGTTATCTGGTGCAGAAGTGTGAATCAGGCTCTTTACTGTGAGTGATTTAAAGGGGGGGTTGGTGTACGCTTGTCTGCAGCACTAATTACAAGTTTGCAGCAGTTATGCTTCAGCTTCGGCTCTTTAATTAAAATGCAGATGTTCCCTCTGTCTCTCTATCATACCTCTCTCCTCTCTATCTCTTTGCGCCTCTCTTCTTCTCTCTGCCTCTCCAGCTCTCTCTGCTTCTCCAGCTGTTTTTCTAGTTCCTGTTGCCGTCTCCTCTCGTGCTCCAGACGCTCACGCTCCTGAAGCACAAACGTAGAGAAATGAGCTGGCAGGACAAACAAACCGCTATTTGTCGTGCGTCACCCCGATTTGGTTCCATATCCTCCAAGTTTCAAGAGTTGAATTAAATAATTTACTGACGCAGGAGATTGTAGCCAGAACTTTGAAAGCGCTGTTTATTTTACGGCCTCATAAAGAAACCTTAAACCATGAGCCAATCAAATGTGGAGTGCACGGTGAAAAGAGCAAACCTTTCTCTCCTGCTCCTCCCTCTCCAGGGCAGCCAGCCTCTCCTGCTCTTTCCTCTGCTGCTCCTGCAGGGCCTGACGTCTTTTCTCCAACTCCAGATTCCCTCGCTCAAAGTTTTCCCTCTTCTTATCCTCAAACGTCACTGCAGGGAGACAAAGAGGACGTTTATAAAGTGGGCTATGATAGATGGTTTGTAAATTATTTAATTGAAACTGCCAGAATCGTTTTAGATGAGAGGAAGAAGCTTGAAAACATTACTGAAGGTTGCAGAAGCCAAAATAAGTCAATGATGTCTAAACGTCAGTAGCAGCTCAGGGTGAATCTAATTCCACTTTGACCAGTAATAAAACAGCGTGTACTCGCTGGTTAGCACCAATCACCTGGTAATTTCTTCTCCTGGCTGCTCTCCGTTTCCTCCTCCGTCTCCTCCTGGACGCTTTTCTGGTCCGACTGAACGCTGTCGCTGCGCACACGCCTTTCACACACAGGGACGAACAACGATCAGATCTTTCAACCTTTATCATTTAAAATAAGCAATGCCGCACAAAACAATAATCGAGTATTGCATCTTTGCATTTAGCATGTAACAAGTGGTCAGCTGTAGGGGCGCTGAAGGAAAAGAACTGTTAAAGATCGAGGGGGAAATGTCAGAAACAAAAATAAGATGTTTTAATTAAAGTTATAAATTTCAGAGTAATAAAAAACAAACCTGCAAGACATTTTTTTCCAGTGCAGGGAAACACTTCACTTTGTAATGCTGAATCAGAATAAAACTCACATATTTGATCACCTGACATCATTAACTCCAAAGAAACCTTTTTGAAAATGAGACTGACTGTCTATTTTTACTATTATGTGGTTATATGATTGTAAGGGCCCTGCACACAGACTCCAGCTGCACACAGAGACCAGTGTGGTTAGTTCAGGTTGAAGGAAAACTCATCGTCTGCCTTAATGACTGGAGAGAGGTGGTGCTGGTGTTTCTTATGAGCTCATATGTGTGTAACAGTCTCATCAAGAAGTAATTGTTAAATACCAGCGCAGATTAGTATGACCACATGTAACCTCTGTGCTCAGTTCTAGCTTCTTTTTTTAAATGTTTGGAGGTTGATTTTTTGGTTCTTGTTTAAATGACCAGCACATTGTTAGTAACATCCTCGTGTTTCGTTCAGCATTTACCTGAACGATGGTGGGAGGTAATCTGGAGGTAACACAGGGGGCAGCGGTAACCCTGACATAGCCATATCTATGAGGTGCATAGCCAAGATAAACTCCTCAGCTGTCAGCTTTCCATCCTGGTCGATATCTGAAAGACTCCTGAGGGGAAAGACATGAAAGGAAAAAGTCAGATTTAACCCTTTAAGACCTACCATAGAACCAAGTCCGCCAAAGCTTATATTATATTTTTACATGCTGTGGAGCCATTTTTGGGAGCATTTCAAGTTGCTATACATCAATACAACCATTATAGCCCAGATATAAATAATATGTCTGCATTAAGTGCATAGTAATTACATAAATTGCAAAAAAGTGCAATAAACTACAAAAAAATTAAAATCGTTTTTGTTTTTTTAACATATATTTCTAGTTAGAGAAATTTAAGAGGCTTATCCCTCAAAACTGTAAATACAAAAAAGTTGCACAAAATAGTTTCCCACCACAGGAAATTTATTTTAAGTGTCTTCATAGTTTTATTTTTGAAATACACCAATTTTTATATAATGCAGGAAAAACGAAAATAAATATTATAATGCAAATTTGCAAAAAAGCAGCATATGCATCAAAATAAACTATTTCCAGCAGTGCAATATGAGTCCTAAGCATCCCAGAAACCACACAGAAAGTCATAAAGTCAAAGATAATTTTTAAAAACACCAGTATAGGCTCATGAGGCCCTGATGGTAAAAAACTACATTTCCGCAAAATGACGTCACTTCCGGTTTTGGGCAGGTCATGGCGGACATGCGATAGTTCGTGCTGATGGACGTAGGAAGTGTTACAAACAGCTGATCGGATCAGCAAAGCGTGTTTCTGGAATATTATGTTTTTGTTGCTGCAAGTGGTTTTTATGCAGTTTTTGCAAAGCTATATGTGGAAGGAAACTGTGACCGAGGACAAGCTGATGGCATAAGATGTAAGTACAACTCCTCCGGTTTCATATGCAAAAAAAAATTATTGCGCTAGCTTACATGGTTGCAGAGCTACCGGGATTTAAAAATAGTTACGCAAAACGGAGCGTGCTGCTCTGACCGGCTTTAAAGGGTTAAAGGACTGCTGTTTTCTGTTCTGATATGGAGGGTTAAATTCCAGTGTACTCACCATATCGTGGCAAGCTGGGTCTGAGGAAGACTGGACTGCATCAGGATTGTGCGAGCCTGGGGACCTGAAACACAGACGCACATCAAATGTAGAGAAAGACACACACATTTACATGCAAACGTAACAGAAACATGATGATGATCAACAGCATGTGAGTGTGTGTGAGTACCAGTGAGGTGTCCACTCATCATCTTGTCGTGGGAGTTAAAAAGCTGTCTGTACTTCAGCCTGGAGGACTGAGGAACTGCCCAGTCAGCAGGGGGCTGAGCGCTGGGAGGAGGACAACAGAGTAAAAAGCAAGAATGAGAAACCAATGAGACTTTATAATTAAAGAAAAAACTACATGCTACGATACTATAGGTCCAAGTGCACAGCAGACTTTTACATGAACGTAACAGTTCAGAATGGTGCAAACATTTGGATTGCTTGACCTACCCAGCAGCATCAAAGGACGAGCCCTTCTGCAGCTTGGTACTGGCCCGATTAAACGAAGAGGACTTGTTGACAGAGGGAGCTGAGAGAGACAGAGAGAAGTGCATTTTAGGACTTGGTGAACTGCATGTGCTGTTGTGTAATTTTACTAAGAAGCCTCTAACTTAAAAACAAAATGTCTTAGAAAAGCATTCATGCAGAGATAAGAGAGCGTGTGAACGTCTGAGATGTAAATACATTAAGCTTGTTATGTGTAAATACAAGCTTAGCGATGGAACGCATCGCAAAGATGTGACGACAACGCTCTCCACTGTTACCTGGGTGGGAGAAGCCTGAGATAGGCTGTATTATGCCCGTGGGAGGAGCTCCGTTGGCAATGGGCTGTGGGAGGGGTGGCGGCGCGGACGAGACGAGTGGGGGCGAAACCCCGACGGGAAGAGGAGGCAAGGGGAGCGGGGGCACGCCGGGCAGAGGAGTAGCGATGGGTGCCATGGGAGGCATGCCTGAGTTAGAAACAGAGCGAGAAGATGATCAGGCGCTGGTGTGAAAACAACACATGCTGTCTGTACACACAGCGAAGGAGGCAGGACCATCACTATATATGAGTTAATTTAAAAGACAATTATTTATCATTATCTGCAGTATTTTTAACAAATGAAGAACCATGAACTGTCCTGACTCCAATGATCTGATCCAACTGATTTTTCTTTGACACTTCAGGAGGTAAATTTGTGGCTGATCAAAACAGGTTTATATCAAATGAAAAGTCTCATCAATCGGCTCATCTAGTAGAAGAGATTCATTTAGTTTCTTTATAAATTGAATAAATACAGTAACAGGTATTGCTGATTCTCATTTATTTTTCATGGAATTAGTTCAAGTGTCAGTCTTACCAAAACCAGTCTGTGGGGGTAAAGGTAGCGGGGGTTGTTTCATACTGGGAGGAAGCGATGGGGGCAGAGGGTGACCCTGTAGCTTCAGCTTGATGAGCTTCATTGCGATTGAGAACTCGTGGATATCCATTCGGCCATCGCTGTTCATGTCAGCCAGAGCCCTGCAGATTCACACAGAGCACGAGCGCTTTAAAACATGAACGAGGGGTAAAATCTGACATGGATTAAAAACCACTGGTGCAAAAAAAAATCTTAGACAATAGTCTGCAACTTCTTTGAAATGCTACTTTTAAAGGAGAGTTGACTAATTCCTGGATATGTGACTCACCATATTTGGGCGAGGACGGGCGGGGGAAGCCCTGATTGGAGAAAAAAGTTCCTGGCCTGGTCACCTGACAGACAGACAGACAGAGTGTGAGATCACCACAGAGCCCAGAGAATCTAATGTAAACGACCTCTGACCTTTATTACAATGTCAACTAAATCATAAAATGCAGATAGTCGAACCTTATTGAAGTTTCTGAATCAGTAAAACATAATCTATGATATGAAATAGCTTCCAACGTTTCATTCTTGAACTAAAGCAGCTTTACATGACTCACAGTCCAAAACGTTGTTGGTTTTTTTGGTTTTCTTTTTCTCTTAAACTGGGACTTTCACTCAAATTCCCGTTTTCCAACCCTGGGGTAGGGTCTGGGAGATAAGCCAATCATTGGTGAGCTATGGCTCTTGTGCAGGTACACAAGCAGAAGCAGGGCAGTGATCAGCGGGGTGTGATTGACATGTAGATGCTAAACAAAGCCAAAAGGTCAGATCAAGGCTCCTGCAGACAACAATGGTCCAACCACAGGAGGTGAGAAACTGCCTCCTGACGTTACTCGATTACAAAAACAAACAGATTAGAAGCTCTAGATAAACAGTAACAGGTTTTGTAGGCAGTGTTTCCTTAGCATGTTAATTAACATGTTAATTAAGAAGCAACACAATGTGTAATAGAGATTGACAGACCACGTGACTTTCGCGCATTGCATGCCGGGAACTCGTGGCAAAACAATCCAAGTACCGCATCAAATGCAAGCATTTGCAGCACTGCAAAACGTTCATTCTCCGGTTCCAATACCTTCTTGCTTTTTCTTTGCCCCCCAAAAAGTTATGTACAAAACGAAGGAGAACAATGCCGGTCCGTACAAAGACAGACTCGACGAAGAGGCAAAGAAAAGACACGAGGAAAAAATCAAAGTAGTGAAAGGTTTAGACCCTCACGAGCACACAGAGTGGACAAAATACGTTAGCGTGCTGCCCAACTTTCACCACGCTCATATTTATAATTATACGGTTCTTGGAGTGAGTGCATACACTCATGAAGTTTAGTAACTTCAGGTCACTGCAACAAGCCCAGGTACAGTTTACCTACGGATGCGTACAGGACCATTTCAATTGAATTGGTACTGATTTCAATTGAAAGCCTGTGTGCGCTAGTACCTCTTGCCACGAGTTCCCAGAATCCTTTGTGGTTGTGCCCCTGAATGACGTCACATTTTCAATCTCTATAGTCAAACAACAGTGAGTCTGCATCTCCTCAGCTCATCCTCTGTCTGAAACAAGCTCTTTTCCTTCTCCCTTTAATGTTTCGGGTAAGCCTGGCACTTTGATCACTGTTCCCGAAAACTGTGACAGCAACTCAGCCATGTGACCGTTTTTTCTCATGCCTGACTCAGGAAAAAGAAATCATCGCATCAGCACTAGAGGAGAAGCAGAAGTCATTGAAACAGGAAACAGTTTTATTTTGTTGGTTGCAACAATCTCCGTCTGCCTCATCACGGGCGCCTGCACGCTTACATCACTAAAGTGCACACAGAGACCGACCCGCTTGAAAAACTTGTGCGTCCAGTCTGACCAAAGCGACAGTTGTGAAGTTGCTTTTGGCACATGCTACCTGTTCTTAAGTACAACATCAACTGCCTGTGAGTCAACTGTCTTCTGATTTGCTGCCCGTCACAAACAGCGTGGGAAGAGCACGCGGGGTGGAGCTCTTTCTATCCACTCTCACTGACTCACACGGAGAAAGGAGAAACAGCTGCCTGAGAGTGAGCGTTTAAAGCAGTCTGAAGCCTGAATGAAGCTTTGCCTCATCATGTGTTACATTACAGTTAAAGTTTGTCTTTATTCTTCGAATAACAGCATTTAAGCAAATATCTGAACTAGGGCTGCCACAAACTATTATTTTGATAGTCGACTAGTCACCGATTATTTTTT